TTCTTAATCATTATTTGGATTTTTTTATCATAATAGAGGTGATGTTGTTTTTGTTTTTCAAATAATTGGCCCATTTTTCTAAGTTGTCAAGTCAATACTTGTGGAGTTATTCATAATATTTCCTTTGCAGTCTGCCGGGTCTGTGGTAATAGTCTCGTCTTCATTCCTAATTTTGGTATTTTTGCATCTTCTGTCTTTTTTTTTTGTCTTCCATGGCAGAATTTGGCCAATTTTTCTTTTATCTTTTAATAGAACTAGCTTTTTGTTACATTTGTTTTTTCAAATGATTTTTAAATGTTCAATTCCATTATACTTTACATTCCTTCATTTTCCTTGCTTTGGCTTTATTTTCTATACTCTTCATATTCTTTTTGAGAGAGGAACAACTTAGATTGTTGTATAAAGACTTTTCTTCAGATTCAACATACATTTAGGGCTATGAATTTCTCTTTCAGCACTGCTTTCACTTTAGCCATTCCAGATAACATATGCTATACGTTATATATACATATGTACATAAATATATAGTTGGATTTCAATAGAGTTATAGAATACACGGTATGATTTCAATTATTTTACATTTGTTGAAGTTTTTGTCTAGTACATGTTCACTAGGCAGTTAAAAAGAATGTGGAATGATCTATACATGTCTATTAGATAATGCTTGTGTTAAGTATTGTGGTTTTTTTTTTTCTGTTTTTTGTTTTTTCTGGTCATGGGGCCTGAACTCTGGGCCTGGATGCTGTCCTTCAGCTTCAGCTCAAGGCTAGCACTCTACCACTTTAGCCACAGTGCCACTTTCGGCTTTTTCTGCTTATGTGGTACTGAGGAATCAAACCTAGGGTTTCATGCATGCAAGGCAAGCATTCTACCACTGAGCCATCTTCCCAGCCTGTGTTAAGTATTTTAAATTCTTTTTGATCCTCCTCTCCACTTCCTTCTTCTCCTGTATCCCCTCTTCCCTTTCCTTTTCTTCTCTTCTTTCTTTTTGGACCAGTACCAAGGTCCAAATTTAGGGCTTTGCAATTGTTCTACCACTTAAGTCATGCCACCAGCCCTGCTTTTTGCTGGTTATTTTGGAGATGGGAGTCTCATAGACTTTCTGCCTAGGCTAGCCTCACATTGTTATCCTCTAGAGCTCAGCCACCTGAGCAGTTAGTATTATAGGCACAGGCTCTTTGTTGGTTTTAATTTGTGTGTGTGTGTGTGTGTGTGTGTAGATTATTTAAAAATACTAAGTTTTTGATGTTAGTACTAACATTGATTTTATTAAGTGCATGTTTTATATGCCAAATACTCTGATAACTCTTTTACTTACATGGTAGCACTCAATCCTCTCAAAAAGTCAGTGTGTCACATAGTGTTCTTAGCTCATTTTGCTGAGGTTCATGAAGTTAAGTGACTTGTCCTAAAGATTACACAGCTAGAAAGAGGTGGAGCTGGCATACTGGGTCAGGGTGTGTATGTGGGGGTGGGGGTGGGAGGTGGGTGGGTGTGGAAGCACTATGCCACCTGCTGTTCTATTGGGATCCTAGAAGGGTTGATAAAAGGTCTTCCAGTTCACATTTAAGTAAGGATGCAAAACATCACCGAGGTGGTTGTAGTAGGCACCTGAACATGTGGTAGGCAGCTTCAAAGATGGACCTAGCGATTTCCCTTTCATCACATCCACACTCTGTGCTATCTTTTTCTCTAGAGCTTTGTTATGAAGATTTCTGTCTTAGGACTGATCTTTCTTATTCTCTCCCTCACATGCCTAAGGGGGGCCCTCAGGGGTTATGTTGTATGCTATCCTAAGGATATGACTCTGTGGCACTGGCCCACAGCCAGTGAGGTCCTCCAACAGCTGCATGAAGGAGCTGGGAAGCTCCAATTCTGCCTCAAGTTATAACATTTCATAAATATGCCATGTGAGAGACCTCAAGCCAGAGATATTCAGCTAAGCTGCATCTGGACTGATGACCCACAGAAGTGATGATCAGTGTTTGTTGTTTTAAACTGTTGAATTTTTTGAAAACACGAGAAAAGGAAAGAGAAAAAGACACACACACACACACACACACACACACACACACACACACACACACACACACACACACACACACACACACACCACACAGGGATTTAAAAAAGAAAACAGAAGCCACTAGTGGCTCATATCTCTTATCCTACCTACTTGGGATGCTGAGATCTAAATCATGGTTTGAAGCCAGTCTGGGCAGAAAAGTCTCTGAGACTTGCATCTTGAATTAGCCACCAAAAAGCTGAAGTGGAGGTGTGTCTTAGTGGGAGAGCACCAGCTGTGGATGAAAAGGTGAGGCCCCATGTTAAAGCCTCAGTACTGGTACACAAAAATAAAAATAAGAAAAACTTTCCAGCAAAGGAGATCTGTTCTGCTCATGTATCTCTGGAAGACCATCATCTCTCACATGATTCAGGATCCATCCAGAAGGCAAATGCAGCAGGAACTTAGGGCAAATGTCAACCAAGATAGGTCTAGGCACAGCATCTGGAGTCTCTTGGACTCTCGGTAGGCACATATTTCCAGAGAGGACATGGAAATCAGATAAGAGTGTGGAGCTAGTTATAGAATGGGGAACAACCTGTGGAAAGGGCACTGGTGGCAAGAGCCCTCTTGGAGCAGCCACCCCTGGAAGACAGAGGAGTTAACAAAAGGACCAAGTCAGTGCCAACCAGGTGATGTACGGATACCTGCCTGTTTTAAACTTATTTAAATCCCCATCATCCCAATTTTCTCTGCTTCCAATACCAACATGAGGGGGAATGGGAGCTTTGAAACCAGATAAAACCTTGTGTTTTGTGTGTGTATGTGGGTATGTGTGTCTTACAGGCATGCAATGTATAAATATTAGGTGGGTGTAGTCATTATTACCACCTGGCTATCACATCTTGGAAGTCCTATTGCTCCTGCAAAGACATTTCAGGGAGTGACTTCTAGGCCTCCCTTTCCTATTTCTGATTGTGGTCCTGACTCACATTGGAAAATGTAATTGATTATAACCAGAGAGAGCAAAAGAGGTACAGAGAGAGTAGCAGAGACAGACATGCTTTGATTCACCAGCACATGCGAAGTTTCGGTTGTGTTTCTTGTTTCTTTCTTTTATCCATCGTGGTACGAGGGACCAAACCCAGGTCCTACAAGCTTATCAGGCAAGCACTACCATCGCTGAGACACATCTCCATCCTGACTGGGGCTTCTTGTTCTTGCTCTAAAAGCAACTGTCTTTGGGTGGCAGTCATCATACTTGCTTCTTCCTTGTCCTGTGGTTTATGTTTGTCCTTCTCTTTATGTGAAATTCAGCTCAGGTTACAGGGATGCTACATATGGCTAGAAGCTTATGCTCTGTACACATCCAGGTGGTCCCATTCACATTCTATGAAAGGTCACTACCCAAGTCTTTCCACATCATTACCATTGGATGCATGTCCTACCCATTCATTAACATGAATCAGAACATCTCTTCAGTACTTTAGAGAAGTCCTCATGCTGGTGATTTGTCAGTGAACAAGATAGAGTTTCTGGCCTTCGAGTTGATATAGGAATAGCACTAATGGTGAGTATACCAACAAGGCAAGTTCAGATTTTGAAAACAAAAAGAGAGATGTTACATATTTTATGGATGAACCTGAGCTGGAATTATTTGGAGTTACATTCTAAAATCCTCCCATAATACACAGAACTGTATTGTACAGACAAAGCTCTTCTGAATTTAACCATTTTCTTCTTTTCATCCAAACATAAAACAGCAGATATTATGTTGTTAGGTAAAATTGAGTATTTGATACAAATTAATAGAGTGAACAGTTTCTTATAAACTTTTGTATTTTTTTAAAGCAGGATGAAACATTAAGAGAATTTGAATCATTCAATCATCTGAGCAGGGATAGAAATATGTTTTAGACCATTTTGTTATAAAACACCTATGAAATTAAGGATACTTTTGGGAGTTTGATAGTGGCAGAGAGAATTGTCAAACAATACATGTTTTACTCTTGTAAAGAATATTTTCTAACACCCAGGAGAGTCTTCAAAGTCACACACCCACCTAGGGCACATCATCTCCCCACAGAATACAGTGAAATATAGCTGAAATGTATTCAGATATACTGTGGGTCATTAATGGCTTCTTGTAAGTACAGACTACAGAAATGTGCAGGCTGCCTTCTAAGATCCTCATTTCCTTAGACTCTTTCAAAACAAGGAGTTGGTTTTCTTTTAAGAATTTTTACATTTTCAAAACAACTCAAATTAAACTATAACCAAATAAAAGTCATTCCATTCTTGGCAATGTGCAGATAAGTATCAGATGTGGAGGTAGGGTCCCATTTTTGGTCTAAAGGGGGAACTCTATTGGAGTTGGTCTATAAAGGGAACTTACCATATCAGCTCTGAAGGCTCAGGATTCAAACAAAACATCTGAAAATGGATCACTGCTATAATGATTACAAAAGAAAGCTGAAGTAGAGAATGATATATGCACTGATACTCAAGATCATCTGGTTCTAAGTCACAGCAAGGTATTACAGGGGGCACAATGTAACCTCTTGTTCACCTCTGTATTGGTATGGCCTACATGTGATATCATCTTCAGGGGGAAGTCAAGTGATATCAGACTTTCTGAGCTGTGTACAGTATAGGTAATTATTTTAATTATATTTTCAGACTTTTGTCATGTATCTGTTGTTATGATTGGTCTATAATTTGTCACAAATTCAGAAAGGCTCTAGAATCCAACTTCTTTCTCTTTAACCAAGTGAGCACACATAAACAAAAGCCTCCCTACTGAGGACAGAAGTGAAGAGAAACTGAGCAAGGCTTTTTGGAGTTCTTCTGAATTAAGAAAGTAGCCCACAAAATCAAGATTTTGTTATCATTCAATCATGAATTTCTGGGTTTAGATTCCTACTTTGTTCCTTAAGCAGAGTGAAAACACAGTACTGACTAGCTGAAATGGACATCGTGAAAGGGTTTAACTTACTTCTCTTACAAACCACTGACAAAAGGCTGGACCAATCCATTCTCTTGCATGGATACCACAATCCATCCAGACAGCTCTTTTGTAAGCTTGTGACTTCCTGCCCAGCTGAAAACAAGAGCATTTGTAGTGACCTACTCAGACTTTTAGTTTAAGCATCACTGACCAGTAGCATTTAATAAGGTTTCAACATAATTCTTCACTGTAGTTGGGTTCATCAGGTAATGCATAAAAATCATAGAGATTTTCTATCTACTTTGGAAGTCAAGCCTTGTTTATAAAACAGTAAAATTACTGCCATAATTGCAGCCAAAGGACTTGAAAATACACAAGTAATATTCCATCTCCATTTTAATTGTATATGACCACTGAGTAAAAAGCTAGATTCCATCCTCTCCCTCTCCTTCTATTCCTACAACTTTTTAAACTCTGGTTTTGAACTCAGGGACTTACTGTTGTTTGGAGAGGTTTTACCAATTGAGCCATTCCTGCAGCCTGTTTTGCTTTTGGTTGCTTTTCAATAGGGTCTCATATCTTTGCCTGGGCTGGCCTCAGATGGCGATCTTTATATCTATGCCTCTATGGTTAGGATTACAGGTGTGAGGCACCAAACCTAGTTTATTATTATCTTTGGATAGGTTCTCTCTAACTTTTTGCACAGGCTGACCCAGAACCATAATTCTTCTAGCTCTGCCTCCCAAGCAACTGGGATTACAAGTGTGAGCCACTGGACCTGACAGGAAATAAATTCAAAAGTCAGATGTTATCTTAACCCTGGTGAATCAGAGATGAAAAGAGATTTTGCACATTAGTGGCAAAGGTAGACAAATAGGAAATCAAACAATTTGTGATAATAAATATTGGGATTCTGGTTGTTGTGTCAAATGTTCTTAAGGGAATAAACAGAGGTTTCTCAGAAGAACACGTGTTTGAGAAGATGGGAAGCTTTTCTGGCAGACATGTTGGAGGAAGCCACCTCAGGTCTGAAAGAGAATCCAAAGATGCGATTATTGGAGGAAATGTTCTATGCTTTGAGGAAGAGACAGCACATGAAGTTGAATACAGAGGCAGAACACAGGAAGTCCTAGATATCACATACAAGAGATCAGGCTGCATCCCATATTCCAGAAGGCTTTTTTGTGCATGTGTGTGTGTGTGTGTGTGTGTGTGTGTGTGTGTGTGTGTGTGTGTGTATGTGTGTGTGCATATATGTACATGCTTAGAGAGCTCACACTGTCAGCAGTGTATTGAATGGACTAGAGACAAAAGGGCAAAGAAGTGCAGTGTGGAGGCCACTTTTGAAATAGTCCAGGGAGTACACAGAAGTAAGCAGTGAGGTAAGAGAAGAGGTTAAACCAATCTGAAAGAATTGTTAGTTTTCAGATGATATTCAATGTACTTTATTGGGAGGGTAGAGATGGAATCCTGAGCCTAAGGTGCTTTTGTGAATACCCATGTGAGAATGTCTAGCAGGAGTAGGATGGGCACTGGGTTCATGCTTGTAACACTAGCTAGTTAGGAGGCTGAGCTCCAAAGGGTTGGTATTTAAAGCTAGTCCAGAAAGAAAAATACCCAAGACTCCATCTCCAGTATAAAGCTTGGCTTGAGTCATGGCTCAAGTCATAGAGTGCCAGCTGAGCAAGCAAGCTGAACAAACATAAGGCCCTAACTATCACCACCATCATCCCCACTACCACTACCACCACCATCACCACTGCTACCACCACCTCCACCACAAAGCTCCAGAGTGATCTATAACTAGATAGAAGGATTTGGAAAGATTGTTGAAACTATGGATCAGGTGTTCTCAATTTGGGGGTGCTTGTGGAGTTTAAGCAGAGTTGAGGATGGAATCCTGAGGAATACCAGAACCCAAGGAAAGGATAGGAAGGGGGCACCAAGAAATGAGACCTGCAGGGAGGGCCAGAAAGCAGGACAAGAATTATCTAGGAGTTATTATTGACCTTGGCAAGAAGAATTGTTAAGAAGTTATGGGGACAACAGTCAGTGAGCCAAGTCTGAATGGAGGGTAAGCAAGTAGGGACAGTGTGGATATATCTTAGTAGAAGTTTGGTTAAGAAGAGATGGCAAACAGCAAGTCAGGAGCGGAAGAGAACTCAGCACCAAGAAGGGACATAATGAATACTTTCTTCCGCAGTTATATGATTTTGCATTGTCCATCTTAAGTAGTACCAATTCACAAGTCATTTGTACCAATAATACTGAGTATTTTACATATTCTCTTCAATAATGAATAACAACAATTATGACTCAAAAGTACAATGCCCTTTTTCCTTTGTGCTGCTACTGAGGCTTGAACTTAGGGATTACATTTTTGTTTGGCCTTTTTTTTTCCCTCTCTAAATTGGTGCTCTGCCATTCAAGCCACAGTTCCATTTCTGATGTTTTGGTGGTTAATTGGAGATAAGAATCTCCAAGACTTTCCTACTCTGGCTGGTTCTGAACCTTGATCCTCAGATCTCAGCCTCCTGAATAGTTAATATTTCAGGATTGAGCCAACAGGACCTGGCTTTTTTTCTTTCTTAAGTTATCAGATAAAGGCCAGGTGTGGTGGCTCAAGCTCATAATCAAAGCTAATCAAGAGTTAGAAGTTGGGAGGACTGTGGTTTAAAGGCAACCTGTGCATAAAAGTTAGCGAGATCCTCATCTCAATAAAAAAAGCTGGATTTGGTGGCAGGTGCCTGTCAATCCAGGTATATGGGAGGTATAAATAGCAAGATTGGGCAGGCAAAATATGTGAGACTTTACCCAAAAGATAAGCATAGAAAAAAAGGGCTGGAGATTTGGGTCAATTGGTAAAGCCAATATATATATATTTTATATATAATATATTTACTACCATAGTAAATATATATATTTAAGCTGATATTAATTACATGATGGTAGACAAGCTCATTTCATTTCCCCCATAAATTAAAATTAAAAAATAAATGTGTTTATTTAGTTAACAAGTTCTTTTTACCTTTAAAATAAGGAGAGCTCTTCCTTCATAGGATCTTCCAATAGAGAAGATCTGAATGAGGTCTGAACGAGTGTTATTCAGATGATGCATCCAACACTGAATCTAAAAGCAGAGAAACAAAAACTGTCTCAGACACTCTCAGACCCATGGAGCTTTTACAGAACAAAAGGTAACAAAAAAGACAACAGTGGGTCTTAGAATTCAGAGAACACCCATGGAATAGAAAATCGAGAAGAATCTAATCTTCTATCTTTAATTTTCTTTCGGATACTTAAAATTACATGTCATTTTCTGCCTTCCTAAATAATAGTTCATATCTCCATGTTGTTACTTCTCTAAAGCATACCTTCTACTACTGTGTATCCTTAACATCCTGATGACAGTGTTTTTCAGAAAATTAATTGATACGTTCTGGTTTCTTTTATGAAAAATCCAAATTGATTTCCATTTCTTTCAAGCATTTAGGGGGAGAAAACAAATCAGCTTCTGGCAAACCATTCAAACTACTTGAATGTGTCTCCAAAATTCTGAATATTGTAATTTGCCGCTGACCAGAAAATTCTAAGGAAAAAATGTTCTCTTTTGCACTTCAAGGTTATTCTACAGAACCACATATTGGAGGGCATACTAGAAATACATTTTCCTGAGATGATGACACATTTGCACACACTTAGCTATCATCAGGAAAGGGTATATTTGAGATGGATGAATAAGATGCCTAGGAAGGTGGGAGACATTTTTGACTGGAAAGACATGTAAGGAAGGAAGAAGTGACACAAAAATGTCCCACTGTTCTGTGGTATAAGAGGTTCTGTTCTGAGAAAATATATTTTGAAACGTACCCTTGTTTTCTTTTCTTCATATTTTAATTTCATAAATGTATAAACACTTCTATATGCATTTCTACAGCCATGTTTGGAATTTTACTTTTTCAAGGGCATGCTCACAATAATTTGATGTGTGAAATTATCAAAAACATTCCCAACAATCCTCATTTCAAGCTTCTAGAAAGTGTAATTGAGACATGGATTATGTGAAAAGGGTTTTCAAGAGTCTTGTTATCAACAAAACCCACATATTCATTATAATATAAGGGCATCTCATTGGGTTTGAGTCTGGCATTCCTTTGATTGAGTCAAGGGAAATATGGAAATGTATGTATTTCTTTACTCTGTTAACAACTTGGAGGATTGATTTGCCTGCCACTGGAGATGGAGGAAGAAAACTTTTCTGCTGTCATGGAACTTTCAGAGTAGAGGATTGAGGACATTAGTTAAACAAACAAGAATATAAGTAAACTGTGAAAAGTGTCATACCCGTGTGCATTATGGGAGCATGTGATATGTGAAAAGTCGGTGAGCAGAGGGGTTTGATTCATTTTAGGAGAGTAGAAAGAGCTACCATCTTGTTTTACCTAAAATTCAGAGGATGACAGTGTTGTCAGATGAACCATTAAAGATTTGGTGGTAAGGTTAAAGTAAGCTATGAGCTTCTCAGGTAGATTAAGTAGGCAAAGGTTCTGAGGTATCACTAATGCAACTTGGTCTTTGGGAAGTCTCAACTTTGCAAAGGGTGTAGGGCAAGTATTAACTATGCCTTTCAAGCAAAGCATTGCTCTCAAATTCTTGTTAGCTCAAAGGCTTTTTAAGGCTCTATTTTTCACCATATGACTTCACTCTTTATTTGTACTTCCCATGTTCTTTATATGAGTGAATTGAGCAAAGCAGGTGAATTCAAATTTTTGTTATTTTTTTGATAGCAGCAAAGGGTTCACTGGAAGAAATAAATGAATGGATATGTTTGGGCTATGTACATGAGGTCTTCCCAGAGCCCGTGTCTATGTTTTAATGCTTCCTTCTCAATCCCTACACCTGAATGACAAAAATTAACTTTAAAAAGGGTAATAAAAGTTCCTTTGATGTTAGGGAAATAAACCCTAAGATATGTATTCAAATGTTTTTTTCTTTCTTGCGATTGTTTCTAACGCATTTATAAGATTATTTCTTTGTTGCTTTGTATGTCCCTCCCCCACAGTATAACCCATGCTTTCACTGTATTTGATGTCGGTATAATTTGTGGAGGGGAAGGGGAAAAACAAATCGTTTAAATAAGGATACAGGTGGACCCGTTGCAACAAGTCGTTATGTCGAAAACGAACTTTACAACTTTGGCGGGGAGGAGCTGGGAGGATTGGATGGGGGGGCGGGGGGGAGGATGGGAAGGGATGGGAAGGGGAAACAAAGGAGGAGGCTGCAATGCTTGATAAGAAATGTACTCATTATCTTGCCCATGTAATTGTAACCCCTCTGTACAGTATTTTCACAAGAAAAAAAAGTTCCTTTGATTACTTCTTCTAAGGAGTGATATACTTCATAGTTATATTTAGACAGGGATCTTCTCCTTCTCTGTGTTCCCAAGCTGTTTCCATTTTCCAGAGCTTTCTGAAGATCTCCGATGAGAATCCTGGATTTGAGATAATAGAGATGATGATGAAAAAATAGAAAGAATCCAAAGCCTCCCCCCAAAAATAGGCAGCACCAAAAATAATCCCAGGCACAAGGAAAAAGGACCGCTAAGACTGAGATTTCTAAAAATACCAAATGTTGAGAAAACGTTCTTTTTTTCTGGAAGTAAAAACTGTTAAATACATGGTGTAATGAATGAATTACAGACAGCTGTCACCAAATAATAGTAGTGTTATAATCACAGCTACCATTGAGTGAGTAGCTACAACTATGGAACAGTGGCTGGGAGTACTTACGTTGAGTTCTTGCGAGGGGCCAGGCACTGCACTATGTATTTTATATGCATGATTTTCATTAATAACTCTGCATAGTGATGCTATTGTAACTTCCATTTTACAAATGGGGAACCTGAGATTCAAAAGAGTTAAGCCAGAATCTGAACTTGGAATGTGAACCCAAATGCCAATCTTGGGACTCTAAGTCCAAGGTGATGCCATGAAAACGGAGCCTCTGCTGCGCCTCCATGCCCGCACTTGACCCTCTTTCCTGCTGTTTCTACCTGTTCATAGTTCTGTCTTCATGGAGACTGTGCTAATCCTAACACCCAGCACAGCTCCCTAAGACTCTGAAAGAATAGCGAGAGGAAGGAAGAAGCTACAGTTCTTAAGAGCAAAGTGCAGAGATACTCAGAGCTGGAGCAGCCAAAATTATCTTGCTTCCCTGACAATAGCAAGAAAGCTACAAGAAAAGAAGTTTAGTTAGGCAAACTGAAGGCTGAGTACAGGGTAAGGGATTCTGGGCTCCTTACAATGGGCTACCTGATCCATCAGTGTTCTTGACGTCATATGACTTAGGTTCAGACATCACTGCTAACTAGAGAACCATATGCCAATAAGGTGGTTAGATGACAAAGAGCCTTGTGCTGATTTTTCTTGGCATGGCAGGTGGCTAAAAAGCTTTGGTTTCATGTTTTATCTTCCAAAAGAACCTGTTGCTTAATGGTGTAAGTGTAATTAGAGCATGTAGTAACATTTTTAAAATAACTTTCAAGGATGATCTACATAAGCCACTTGATGAAAAAGATTATCAAGAATCATATGCACTGGGCCAGGCACCAGTGATACATGCCTGTAATCCTAGATACTCAGGAAGCTGAGAGCTGAGGATTGTGATTCAAAGCCAACCTGAGTAGAAAAGTCAGTCCAACTCTTATATCTTACTAAACAGTAAAAAGCCAAAAGTGGATCGATCTGTGGTTCAAGTGGAAGAGTGCTAGGCTGAAGGGCAAAAAGCTAAGGAATATCTCACAGGCTCTGAGTTCAACCATAGTACCTGCATTTAAAAAACAAAAACAAAGCCCCAACAACAACAAAACCCTTGGCCAAGTGCTAGTGGCTTATACCTGTAATCCTATTTAAGAGGTTGAGATCTGAGGATCGCAGCTCAAAGCCAGCCCTGGCATGAAAGCCTATGAGATTCTTACCTCCAATAAACCATCAAAAAGCTGGAAGTGGAGTTGTGGCTCAAGTGTTAGAGTATAGCTTTGAGCAAAAAAGCTCAGGGGCAACATCTAGTCCCTGCATTCAAGCCCCAGTATGAACAAAAACAAAGAAAAAACAAACCATTTTTGGTCTATGATTCAGAAGTCAATTTATTCAGGGGCATGTTGAATGTATGACAGCCCTTTTGAGTTTACTCACTTATTATTTGTTGAGCACTTACTGCACCTAAGCATTGACTGTTTTTTTTGTTTCAGTTTTTTACTTTGCAGTTGGCAACATTTTAGAAATAAGAGGAAGTAAGGCTGAGCCAAGCTAGGTAGGTTTTCTGGTAGCTGCTTGTAGTGGCTCAAAATGTGCATGCAACACTAAGTTGTAAGACACTGTTCATGCCAGTTTTCCTTCTTTCCAAAGAGAGAAAGTTACAGATGGCTAAGTGCACGGGCTGAAGAACTTGACAATACTGCTAAGTCTGGTCTTCAGAGCCAAACGAGCTCTGAAGCTGACTTCCAAACTTCCTTGTGGTGGGAGAGAACCTGAGTGGTCAGAAAGGATGCAGATTTATTAGGAATAGCATGGTCATAAACAGTCCACATATTCTAGCTACTGCAGTCAACCTCCAGGTGTGTTCTCCTCCCAGGATTATTTCTCTGAGCTATCTTTTCCCTATCCCAGGAAACCAGGAGGAGAAAAACAAATTGTACACAAATCTCTGAAAGCTGTCAATCCCCACAAGAATCTCCTTCTCAATGTCCAACTCAAAATGCCTAGCTACTTTGTTACAGCAGCTCTACCTGATTAATATAGCTCTCTTTTCAGTCATCTAGTCTGCACTCTAATAAAAATTCTAAGAGTCCTACTTTAAATTAAAAAAATAATTGCAATATGGAAGCCCCAACCCCAGTGTCCTGGTCAAGTAGTTGATTGGAAACCAGTATATTGATGAGAAAGAAGGCTGTGAGTTGGAATTGCAAAATGGTCTTCTAAGCTGTAGTCGTTTTAGTTCTTTATAGTTAACGAGCGCTAAACCAAGTGGATCCATTTCTGTACTAGTGACAGACCTATTAAAAACGTTCTAAATGATGCCATCACTTAGTACAAAGCTACAGAGTAGGAAGAGCCCTCCAGAATGGAAATTTCATTGCCAGTTTTTATAGGCATTTACAACAGAATATTTTTTAATGGCGAAATGGATCATCTCATGGAGACAGGTTGGCTACCTGTGGGCCAGACACCTGGGTCATATTATCTCCACTTTAAAGATCACTATAGTGATATATTATGTTTAGTTATACAGAGTAAATGATACTCTTTTGAAAATACTCTAGGCTATAATAATCAAAGTCAATTAAAATGATGTCTACCTACCGTGTCTACAGAAATTAATTGACTCTTCTATGTTATTATCTTGGGTCCAACAAAACGAATCATTCTAAATACTTGTTCTTCATGAGGAGACACCTGATTTAAAAATACTTCTTTTTTTGACTCAATTCTCTGGGACACAAAGTGTGATATTCCATATCGGGTCTACATGACCTATATTTAATAGCAAAATAGAGACTTGTTAAAACTAACTGCTATGTTCTTTTCTACTGAACAATAATTAATGAAACATGTACATTGTTACTGGACACCTATAGATATAATTGGCAAGCTCTTTCCTGCCGGGCATTCAAAGCCACAGCAGTGATGAAAATGTGAGCAATATGAACAATAGTTTTATGCACAGCTGTGATTATGTTTCAGAAACACTGATGAAACCTTTCTACAAAAAGCTTACTGGTACTTTAATAAGGTTGCATGGATCTTTCTGGAAAGGCAATATTTATTTGGGTTATGGATGTTACTGCCATAATTTTACCCTTTATTCCAGATTTCTAAAGAGCTTAGGATCCTCACCTTTGGCCCCCAATCCCCAAGAGTCAGTAGCTCACCCTAAATCTCCCCAGGCACCATCAGGAACTTGGGGGCCAGCTGTGATAATACAGCATGCTATTGAAATGGGGATAGGTTATGAAACTCATTTACTATCGTGTCTCTCAGCTTGCTGTCTCACTATACTGAACCTCTTCTTCCCAGATCCTCTCCACCCTACCTCCCTTCTCTTGTGTCTCTAGCATCTCTCTTCCATTGTAAACAACCTTCCTATATCCTTCAGGCTCTTTAGAGAATTCTTCCTTTTCATATCCTTGCTCCATCAGAAATCTTATTTCCTACCTACCATGGGGCCAAAATTGTCCTGGTGCCTTAACCTGCTTCCTCATTAATCTTGTAACTTTCAGAAAGAGTTTGCCCTCCCTTCAGCCTCTTCTAGCTGCTTTCCTCTGACTCTTCACTATGCCTTTCACCTCCAATCTGCATGTCAGCCAAGGAGAGGCAAGGCAGCTATGGTCATTCTCTAGTAATTTACTCCTTTCATACTTACCACAGTAGGCTTAGCAATCTCCACCTAAAAAAATTCCATTTCAGCCATCCTCTCCTTCACTAGCTTCTGGATCTGTTACCCTCTATAAACTTCCTAGCCTAGAGTTTATAACATCCAGTAACCTACATTTTGTTAAAAGTTTCTTCCTTTGTTCCATAATTCCTCCTAGTCTCTTCCCTCCAGGTTAGAATGCATGGATGAATACCTAACCCAGCATCTCACTGGAAGCTTTAGCTTTCTTCCATGCTGTCCTTTCTATGTTCCTAACCTATAAGCTCCCAGCCCTCTATCATTGCTGTATTCCCTTCAGTAGCAACTGGTCTTATTTGTTATCACCCTGTTTGTTTTGTTCTTGGTGACATTCTTCAACATTTGCTTCTTCACTTTCAGTAGGTATACTTTTTACTATTCCACCTCCAAAAAATAATTACCTTTGATCTCTTTTAATTTATGGACTCTCCTCTCTATCCTCTTAAGTAGTCTCACATTTCTTTCTTTATTCTGAAAGGATGAGGAATTCTTCCACTGTTCAGACCTGCTCTTCCACTTGTACCCTCTCTCTGGCCTCATCTTCCTCATCTCCCTTCCCATTGGTCCTTCCTTGCAGCCACTGGACATGCCTAAACTTCCCCTTACTTACATAAACCCTAACTCTTCTGAGCAACACCTCTTTGTGGTCTTTTCTTTATTTCTTTATTCTAACTGCTGAGAGCAGAGTCTGTCTTACCTCCCATTCACTTCTGTCTTCCACTCTTAACAGCCGAATCTCACTGTGAGTTGTAGGAAAATCATTTCCAATACCAACTATCATTGTAGCACTTAACCCCATGGTCCATTCTCTCGCTGAAATCTTTGACTCCTCTTTCTCTTTTCTACTTACTGTCTTGTACTCCTTCAAAAACCCCTCATAAGCAGGGTACCAGTGGCTCCCGCCTGTAATCCTAGCTACTCAAAAGGCTGAAATCTGAGGATCACAGTTCAAAGCCAGCCTGGGCAGCAAAGTCCATGAGACTCTTATCTCCTATTAACCACCAGAAAATCGGAAGTGGCGCTGTGGCTCAAGTGGTAGAGCACTTGCCTTGAACTGAGCTGAGGGACAGTGCCCAGGCCCAGAATTCAAGCCCCATGACTAATCAAAAACAACAACAACAACAAAACAACAACAACCCTTCCTAATATCCAAATCTTTTCAAAACTGCTTACTGAGTTTCTCCAAGCTAGAAAATTTGGAGTCATTTTTTTTTTTTTTTACTTCTTTTTCAACCTATCTTCTAACCAAGAGGAGAAGTCAGCAGATTTTCCCTGGAAATACTTTTGGGAATGTATGACTCTAGTCTGAACTCAGGGATTCACCATCCCCTGCCTGGACTGCTATTATCCCTGGTGCCCACAGACTTGTGGCTCTCTTGCTTATATCCTCTTAGAGGCAGCACCATACACAAGAGGTTTGGGATGCTCCCCTGCAATAAGGCTTTCCACAATTTTTCCCCTTCCTGTCTTTGTACATCTTTTCTTTCTTCTGCCTGACTTGTGCTTGGTCCACTACAATAATGCACCACTGTTGTGTTTCTTTGTTGGTTGCATTGCCCCCACTGCCTGCTAGATTTCAAGTTTCATCGTTAGCTTGGCTGACATGACCCCTTGTCGTCAGCCTTGTCCTCTCATCAGCCATCTTGGCATGGCCAGGCTGCTGTTCTCTCTTCCCACAGAGAAAAGTTCATGTTGACACTGATCACTTCTTAGTCACAGTAAAATGGTATTAGACTAATAAAATCATGGAAGGTGAATGTATTCACAGTAATTTTCTCAAAATGCAAAACATTGTTGTAAACACTTGATAAATAGTCTGAATGCAAAGATTGTTCTGTTCAATTTAGTACAAATGAATTTTATAGCAAGTGGAAGGGGGTGCTTACTTGTACTGGATGTTAGCTTCCTGTAAGAAGGTTAACAGAGCTTGAGAAGCATTTTGATGAATATGGATGTCAGTAGTGGTGCCCTCTGATACATAGGAGATACTGCTGGGCTGCCAAAGGTCCACCTGTAGTGCAGGAACCAACCTATAATTCACATTCAATGTAGGTGGGAAAAATCCATGTCACAATGTCAAATACATTCTCTTGTTTAAGTCAAACACATTTTGGGATTAGAATCAATGTTTAAATGACCAGAGAAAAATTCCTGTATAATCTTGGACTTGCTCTGCATACCTTTTCATACCCATATAGATTTGTTTAATTTTGAAGTAATTGTTTGAAGACTAGTACACTAAAGTTACAAGATAAAGAAGAAAAATGGTAAAAAATTAGTTTTAAGTATAATTCTGATATTACTTTAAAATTATTTATTGAGCAACATTGATATTTAAAAATTACTTATGATATAAATATTTGAATAAGTATTTGAAGGGTATAATTATTCTTCATTCTTCCATGCAAGAAAGTTACAGTTATTTCGCAGCATTTAACTCATTTATTATGGTGGGGATTGAACTGAGCTCCTCTTCTGTACAAGACAAGCACTCTACCACTGAGCTACACCACCAAGGCAAAGTTCAGAAACATTCTCTAAGTGGTTGCTCTCCCCAACACCTGCCCTTCTCCAATTCCGACTCAGACTTCATAGATCTATACAATCCTTCCTTCTCAGAAGGTCTTGGTAACTAAGTCAAGTCTCCTGTCATAGTTGCTACAGAACCTTGTGCTTCTTTCATTGTGTCCCTTTCTCTGACCTGAATGTACTCCGGTCAGAGAATTTGTGCATTTGGTTACTTCCCAGAACATACAATGAAGTGCATATAGCACTTCAATCATTGCATATTACTTGAGTGTGGATCCCCACCCCCATATTATAAGTTGCGATACATTCACTACATGTTCAGTATTTTGTAGCAGAGCAAGAGTCACATCTGTATTCTTTACTGCTGTGATCCCAGTCCCTTGACTAGTATTTACACTGCTAGGAGCTCTGGATTCATTGAAAGAATAACAGAACATAGCTGAGAGGGAGGGTAGCCTCATCTTTTCTGGAAGTTAGAGCCACAGTTCCAGTTAGGCACAATTTTAGACTCATCTCTGTCTTTTGATATCAGTTTTGGATGTCCTTCTTCTTGTGTTTTTATTCTTGGTCCTGTAGGAGGATTCTAGTGTCTACTAATCTCTTATCACGTAAGATTTAGTTACTTTAACTTCACTTGTGTCAGTATGGGCATTCTGTGAGAGCATTCTGAAGATCAAATATACTTTGTGATTCAGGGACGCCAATGTCCAATAATCTATCCTGGAACAGAGTAAACCAGCTTTTATTTTTGGAACAAAGAATGCACCTGTTTTCTTTCAGTCAGCAGACTCCTTAGCTAACTTGCAGGGGCATATCTGATGGAGTTAACAAGCCTATCCACAATCTCAGGCAAACAAAAGTGTGGGATTGGGAGGGATGCAAAGAGGTCATTTTATCCATCTGTCAGCCCTTGGGCAAGGATATAGTTAGGACTGCACCAAACTGTCCTCAATAGGCACAGCTAGATCAACCTTTTAAGTCTTCAAAAGGAGGAGAGTTGACAGCATCCTAATTTAATTCATGTCCACATTTAACAAGATTGTCAGACATTTTTCTTAATCCTTTACACTTGTGACACAGTCTCATGCTTGTTCTGTTCTTCAGTGAGGAATGGTTGGATTCTTGCTTTTGTGACATAAAGCATGTTGATAACTTTTACTTGCCTTTGTACATTAGATTTTCTAATCCTTTAGTCAATCCTGTGACTTGCCTCTAAGGCAATGGCAAAGATGGATTTTTTTATATTAAGGAAAACATTTTCAGTCAATGGATACAAGAAAAATGTGCTCTATTTTATAGGGTGGAGAGCCACAGGTACCTAAAAATACTATGAATTACCACCTTACACATGAGTCTGTAAGTACTATTCTCTGAGCTACATGCTAAAATAAGAATCCTTATCCCACAGAAAAGAGTAGCTTCCCCATAGAAAAGTTGCATGAAAGTAATATACCCTACAATAAGACCTAGAAAAGACTAACATCATAAAATAAATATTATCACCAAGCATAGTGGTGCACACCCACTACTTGAGAAGCTGATTCATAAGGATTGTGAATTTAAGGCCAACCTAGGCTACATAGTGAGATTCTATCACAAAAAACAACAATAAAATTATAACATTCTCAGACAGGTAAAAGAAATTCACATAAAAGACAACTAAAAAAAGTAATTTGTAAAATCAGTTAAGATCTAGCAGCATTGGCTGTGTAAATTTGTGGGAGGTTTGAACATATCTAAACTTCAGTTTTCTTACTGGCACTCTCTTATTGGTATTATCCATAGTCTCTTTCAGAGAATTAGACTATTGGATGCAAAACACATAATAAGAGCTCAAAAGATATTCAAGGACAGCATTATCCTGAAATCAAAGTCAGAAAAGGAATGAATCAAACATAAAATTATATATCAGTAGTTTAGTTATAATAAAGATATTTTAAAGTTCTTAGCAAAATATTAGTAAGTTGAATCGAACTGCACATTCACCATGATCAAGCATGTCAAGATTTAGTCTAGAAATGCAAGGATAGTTCAGTACATGTGATGCAACAAAAATATATCACACAAAGAATGAACAAAAAGCTATATGATCATTCAATAGGTATAGAGAAAGTCTCTTATAAAATTCAACATTACTTCAGCTTAAAACTTCTGAAAAAATAGAAAGATCATAATTAACATAATACAGACTATTTATGATGAAGCCACAGGCAACACTGTACCAAATAAAATAAAATCAATAAATTTCCTGTAAGATAAAGAATAAGGTCAGGGCATTCACTTATTATGCCAATCCAGGAAAATTAGAAAGAAAGTAGGAAGAGAATTAAATGAAAGGCATACAAACAAGAATGGCAAAGTCAAATTATTCTTGTTTTCAAAAGATAGGATTCTATATATAAAAACCCTAAGGATCTTACCAAAAGATTAACGGATAAACTACTACACTAAAGTCTCAAGGTATAAAACCAACATGAAAAAATCAGGAGTGCTACTGCCAGTAGCTCATAACTGTAATCCGATCTACTCAGCAGGCTGAGATCTGAGGATTGCAGTTCAAAGGAAGCCAGACTCAGTAGGAAAGTCTGTGAGACAGTTACTGTCAATAAATTAACACAAAAGCTGGAAGAGAAGATGCAGCTCAAGTGGTAGGGTGCTAGCCTTGAGAAAAAGACACTTAAGGACAGCACTAAAACTTTGAGTTTAAGCCCCAGTACATGGGAAAAAAAATCAATACCATTTAATAAGCCAATTTCAAATTTCCTGAGAAAGATATCATGAGAGAAATCTCATTTATAATAGTTACAAAGAAGAAGAAAAGCAGGTGTGCTAAATAATAATCTCTTAGTAAAACTTAAAGATAATAATATATAATTAAAAAAGAAGAAAAGTAAAAAAAGTAACCAGGGGAGTAAAGGATCTCTATAATTAAAATTACATAATATTGATTAAGGAAACTGAAGAACATACAAAAGAACTCCCTTAATGGGTTGGAGAATAAATATTGTCCAATGTCCACAATACCCAGAGCAATTTGTAAATTCAACACAATCTCCATCAAAATACCAGTGATGTTTTTCACAAATTTAGAATAAACACTTGAAAATTCATACAGAAGGAAAGAAACCCTGCATAGTCAAAGCAGTCCTGAACAAAAAGATCAAAATTGGAGGCAAAACAATAAATGATTTCAAGACATAGTAAAGAGTCATAGAAGCTGGCATAAAACAGAGACATATATCAAAAGACCAGAACAGATATCCCAGAAATAAATCTATGCACCCATATAGACAACTGATTTTGACAATGGCACTCAAACCACAGTGTAAAGACAGATCTTTAATACATGGTGCCCGGAAAACTGAATATCCACATGTTGAAGACTGAAACTTGGCTTCTGCCACTCAGTGCAAAATAAACTCAAAATGGATCAGATATAAATGTAAGACCTGAAACTATAAAACTATGAAAGAAAACATAGGGAAACACAAGATATTAATATATGCAATGATTTCTTGGAGATGGCCCAGAAAGCACCAAAAACAAGAGCAAAAATAGACAAATGAAATGACATTGAAATAAAAATCTTCTGTAACACAAAATGAAGAGACCAACTAAATAATATGAGAAAATATTTGTCAACTATTGATCTCAGAAAGGATTAGTATGAAAATATATCAGAAACTGAAAGAATTTAATGACAACAAAAAAGTAATCAAGTAAAATATGGACAAATGATCTGAATAGACACTTCTCAAAAGAAATAAAAAGGCCACCAAGCAATTTGTTTGGATGAAAATAAAATCAGTATACCAAGGGAAAACCTTCATTATCATGTTTATTGTAGCACTATTCACCATAGCTATAATAGGAATTTAATATTGGTGTACTTCTGTGGATGAACAGATAATATATGGTAAACATACATAATAAAACATTGTTCAGCATAAAGAGAATGAATACTATTATGTGCAACAAAATGAATGGAACTGGAGGATATTATGTTAAGTAAAGTAAGCCAGACACAAAGGTAAGTACCACATCTTCTCCATGGAAGTTAAAAAAGTCAACTTGAATGAAGAATAGTAATGAGTAGAGATTGGGAAGGATGTTGGTGGGTGAGTGGATAAAGGGAGGATGGAAGAGGACAAAAACAGAAGAAAAACATTTTAGTGTTCTACACAGTGGGGTGACTGACAGTTTACAATAGCCTATTATCTACTTTAGGAAGAAAGAACTCAAAAGCTCTAAACATAAAGAGATGATAAGGAGAAGAAAATTCAAATTTCTCTGATTTCCTAAGTGCATGCTTTATCCATGTGCTGCAATATCACACTGAACCCCAGTCATCTGCACAATTAATACATATTAATAAAAATAAACACAAACAATAGTTTTTTTGTTGTTATTGCTATTTGAAAAATATATGAAAAATAAAGGCTATAAGTTGTAAGACAAAGTTCTATTTTGTGTGTTTCTGAT